GAGGGATACCAATCGGTTAGATGGCCGTCCACCTGTACCCTCCACTTTTTTCCAACGAGAAATTCATGGATCCATCGATGTAACGATCCTCCGACACCACACGACCTTAATCTGTCTAGAAGCAATTCATGATTGACTTTGTCGAATGCTTTGCTGAAGTCGATGTAGATTACGTCGACGGACTTTCCCCGGTTCAGTGCTTGCAACCATTCCTGTCTCGTCACAAGTAAGTTTGTAACACAAGAACATCCCATCCTGAATCCGTGTTGTGCCGGTGTCAGAAGTTCTTTCGATTGTAACAGATGTATTAAACGCTTTTTTACTATCTTCTCGATCACTTTGGCCAAAATGGGTATAAGACAAATTGGCCTGTAGTTATCCACCTTACTGGGGTCGCCACCTTTCGGGATGGGCCTCACCACCGAGCGTTTCCAGTCGTTTGACAATGAGCCCTCAGACAATGATTTGTTGAATAGATCCGTAACAGCAGGCGAGATAATGGCAGCTAGTAATTTGATAATTAGCGGATGAAGCCCGTCAGGTCCTGCAGGCTTGGTACCGTCAAGGTTCGCAAGTAGCAGGCGCACCTCGTCGACATCACAAACCAAACTGTTGAGTTCTACAGGAATGTTACTCGCTGAGGTGGGTATGGACGCCGGGTTGTTTGCAAACACGGAAGCGAAGTGAGCGGCCAGTGCGGACGCGCGATCGGAACTGGAAGTTAGCAGGTGTCCGTCCGCGTCTTCCAGACATGACACGTCACCTTTTGGCTTCAAACGACGTTTCACGTAAGCAAAGATCTTCTTTGGGGCCATCCTCGCGTCAGTTGCAAGCTTTTCTTCGAACTTCCGGCGCTTTATCAATTTCACTTTGTTACAAATATTTCGCTGTCTTTTATATGCTTCGTAATCAGTGGCGGAGCCAGAGAGGCGAAATGCGTCCCACATTCTTCGCCGTAACCGAGCCAGCTTACCATATTCCTTGTCGAACCAGTGTGGTTTGATTGGTTCGACTTTCTGAAGTTCCAACGGCACAAACTGAGAGCAAAGCGAAGCCAATCCTTCCTTTATTACTGTCCAACCGTCCTCCACAGATGTAACATGCGGTAGAGACCAATCCATTTGGCTCGCTGCTCGATTTAATCCATCGAAATCAGTTTTCCAGTAGTTGTAAGCTGGTTCCACCGGAGATACACTCGGCAAGTTCAATTTCATAGTGTCTATCAGCACGGAATGGTCGCTTTAACTAGGGTTAATAACTGGTGAGTCATTTTGAGAGTAGTGGGAGAGGTCCCGAATAACATCCCAAGGAACAAGCATGAAGCCATGGTAAAATATCACAATAGAAATCGACGGGGAGGACAATTTAAACAAGAAGAAACGGAGCGTTTGTGTTTGCTTTTTTTCACACGCCTACCTTTTCCTTTTTTCTCATTTTTGATTTTTGAAGCGTTATGCACGTGATGAAGGTATGCGAGTGTTCTCCGAGCTGGCTGAGTTGCATGCAAACGTTTCATCGTCAGGCTAGACGACATCATCAGTGCGATTTATGCGGGCCACTTACTGGTCCAAGTGATTAGTGATCACTTGATTCGAACGTCAGGAGTCTATTGGTCCACGTGAGCTGACCGTGTAGTCAGCTCTTGCGTACTATTGGCTAAAGTCCGCCTCAGTGACGTTCCTTTGTCCTTTTGATCTGGGGCGGAGTATTGTTTGGACCCTCAGTGCTTTATAGGCAGTATCAAGATCTAAGTGTCGGTTGATTGAGTTCTTTCCTAAGTACCAAGCCTCGATCAACTCGCTTGCTTTTCGATTTTTTGCCCTGCCTATGATCCTGACATTCTCCAAATCAAACTGATGATTCCCGGCGTCCATATATACAGACATCAGGGAGTTCTGGTTATGTCGGCGGATGGCTAGACTATGCTCATGTAGCCTAGTGCCGAGCTTTCTTCCTGTCTGGCCCACATACTATTTGTTACAAGTTTTGCAGTGGATTTTGTAAATCACACCACTTGTTTCTTCTTTGCTAAGTCGGTCCTTACCACTGAAGAGGTTGTCTCGGATGGTTTCTGTCGGCTTGGGAGCATCTCTGATTCCGAAAGGTAATACCAGTCTCGCCACCATCTCAGAGACACCATTTATGTATGGTAGGGTTATTGTCCTCTTGTCCGTTTCTGATGTTTGTTCATGCGTCGGTCGTTTTATTGATGTTAAACAGGGGTCAGCGGTGGTGATGCCCATCCTTCATTATGTTGCGTGTAATCAACAATCGAAAAACGAAGTCAAATGGACATCTTCCGATTTTTAGCTACTAATCTACTTATATCGTGGGAAGTTGCATTGTATCGTTTTCTGTGTGCCGACGAGAGGTAGCAGGTTTTCTTGGTTTGAGTGTAGTTCACCGCTTGGAAGCCAGGCTTCCGGTCATTTCCGTTTAAGAGGTACGCTGCTTCGTTCCTGTAGTAGAACTCGGAGAAGAATAACAATACTTTCAAGTAGCATTAGCCAAAAATACACCGGATCACCCTCTCACTATTGAAACCATTCGTAACTTAGTTTACTCCTGTCAGATCTAGTGTTAGCTCTGCGGTGTGAAACTAGAGTCTGTGCGAGCAACGACCATCTTCATCTTAAACCAGCTCGCATTCATTTCACACCATGACGCAACTCTGTCTAGCCACCCGGATGAACAAGGGATTCCTGACATTGTGTTATCCAAACACCGACTGATCGTAACACCGTTTACCATGGGTTCGCGCCAACATTGACGCGTCAATCTCGTCAGCGTTCGTTTATATCAGAGCACGCATCTGCCATCAGAATGTATACACTTGCTCCATCTCTGCTATGAAGTTATCAGAGGGGCCCGAGGAAGTGCACACTACTGTTGAGTCCCAGTAGGGCGAAACGGACGTCTGGTGCTTTTCCGTATCGGTAGCTTACCTATGCGGCTGGGAATCGAATTGCGATGAGTCAGACTAAATCATACTCAAATTCGTATACTCATTTGCATTCAAAAGACTAACCGCTACCAGTCTTCAAAATGCTGTGTGGACCCACGGCACTAGCAAGGTAAGTCCTGACTCGGACGACTGACCACTGTCCACTGTACATGCAGTAACCTTCATAAAAAATTAACTCGCCATCTGTACGCCTTAACGGCGTTTCGCTGCCACGCGACCACCACCAGTTGCGCGTGGGCTGAGTATACCGCTAAGATGCCCACCCTTACGCGGACTCGAACCGGTGACCTTATGGTTGCAAATCAGGTGCGCAGATCATCCGGCCACCGGCCGATAGAGGATGCATCGGGCTATATAGTTAGCTTTCAGTCCGTCATGGTCGGCTATCGGCCCCTATGGCTCAGCGGCATTAGCTGCTGTCTAGTGGTACAAGCCACAAGGGGTCATGGGTTCCCTCCTCAGAAGGGAACCGAGGGAATACACACCACTGCTGTCCCAGTAGGGCGAAACCATCGTCTGGTGCTTTTCCGGGCTGGTATTCGACCTTCGTGTATTATAATCTGATTGCGACGAACCAAATAAGTCGTTGAATAGTTGCTATCCGAGGCGCGTAGTGAAACGTCCGTTGTAGAGGGTCCTACACCCACATTCACGATGTACGGTGGGGTGGACTAGGACGTTTGGAATCCCTTGTAAAGATGTGACTTCTTAAGTAATCATACGTGAGTTAAACACTGAGAAAACAAAGATGATAATCTAAGGGGGCGAAAACCTCCGTTCAGCACTGGTGCGTTCGAAGAGTCCACTTTTGAAAGATAAGACGGCCGATTGCATCCACATAATTATTTGCAAAGTGTATGTGGGTCAAACAGCAACAGGGCTGCGCACAGGGATAGCAAACAAGGAAAACGGGACGCACGTCTACCGGCTAACGAATTTGGAAACAAGTACCCTGCTGAGCGATTCGGCAATGGTGGTGGTGGTGCACCTACTAGACATGAGGCACTAGGTCGACAGGGAGCAAGTTAAATCCAGTAGAAGAATTGTTTGTTGAAGCAGTAGAAATCATCAAGTTCTACATGTTTGTAAACAGAATTGACCTGGTAAAGCTGTCAAACGTGTGGTAGGCTGTCTGAACCCGGTCAGTCTGAACAGCTTCGGCAAGCTGACTCAGGCTAGAGCACGAACATCGAACAGTCATCATCACTATCAACACCAAAAGAAACATAATTTTTACAAATAAATGCTTATGATCCGGACCGCTCGGGAACTTATCATTCGTTATACATCCTTTGACTGTTCGAGTGTCGCAGAAAATCATCCACTGATTCGTATTACTTTTCATGATCATGTCTCCATTTACTACTTAGAAAACTACATCAATTATGTAATGCTTCCTCTGATCTAAAGCATTGGTGCGTCATGAGCAAGACGTTGTCGAAACACATGCTTAGCCAAGACCGATTTCTAATGAAAACCCTCCTAACTTTTAAATTATCACTCTTGTTTTCTTAGTGTCATGTCCAACTGGGCGATGGAGTTTGACCGATGGGCACCAAGTGTGAAGAAGATTCTCTACAAGGGTTCCCCTCAGGCGCGTCGTGTGTTGCAGGTCCAGTTGAGAGCCTCCAAAATCAATGTGCTCTTGACAACATATGAGTATATCATCAAGGACAAATCCGCACTCTCCAAGGTTAGGCCACCTACTTAGTTATTATTCTGCTCTGAAATCAGATACCTTTTGTCGTTGTTACCCTCAGGCTTACCTGTACGGTCTCTTTCCACGCCATATGAATAGTGCCTTTGCTTACTATCAATCGCTGCATGCAGTTGAAATATCACTTGGTCATCCGTAGCTAGGCCATTATCATCATGTGTTGTCCGTCATTCTTATATCCATCTCACATGAGTTCTCGGGTTTATTATCTGTCGAGCATAACCTGCTTACTTTATATGCGATCGTTTCACCTTCATGTATTCGATCTCAGTTCATGTCAACACCCATTCAGGCTCATTTCAGTTGATAAGCTGTCATCGTCAGAACGCTATATTGCGATAGATCCACTTGCTCTGACCCGCGTTATCATGGAATTATTCATTGAGGATCATAAGGAAAATATTAGTAATCATCGCAATGAGGCTATACCTCGATTTGGAACAGGGATTTGTGCGCCTAGACGATCCATTGAACTGTGTTAGGTGATGATTTTCGCACCTTCAGAATGACCAATGTTTAGGGGCCAGACGAATTCGGTTTTCCGATCATCTAGGTTATGAGTCGGAAAGAGGGTGGCTCTCCATTATTTTCAACGGACTCCCTTCAACCCATGGCCAATCATCTCCATTTATGACACCATTTTATCTTGACCATCGCCCCAAGAAATATAGTCTACCATGCCATCATCCGTTCAATTCTACTTCACGGTTGCGAAATCTGACTCACCAAATTGATAGGGAGAGAGATCAACTACGTCCGCGGTTTAGTTCACATCTGATGGGAACACCGCGTGGACATTGGTCGTGTTCGGCTTCTTCTTCGTGGTGCAGAGCGGGGAAGTGAACCATTTAGCACTGTTATTTCACGCACTATGCTTCGATGCGTCAACCACGTGTTACGCATGCCAGCACACCGACTCTCGCAGTGTGCGTTGTTTGCGCGACCGAGATCTGGTTGAGGGTGAGGGGGGGAGAAGAGGAGGAGCGGAGGACAAGCGATGACTTGATCAAGCGGAATGCCAGGTTGGATTGCGAAAGACGATGACAGAGTTCGGTTGTATACGCATGTTGATGTAGCTAGGATCCGACTTCATTGGTGTCCATGTCGTGAGTTTCCTTGTCCCTCTCTTTCCAACTTAACGCTCTCCAACATTGATCACACTATTGGCACATAAAATAAGTGAAGGTAAAAATAATTGGTTTGGTTTCCTTTACAGCCATCTATCTGCTTTGCATTGTGACGATAGGTGGGGGTGTTTCTCATCTTCGGCTATCGTGTAGAATAAGCGAATCAATGATGATGATATCAGTTTGATGCATCCAGAATCTGGATGTCTTACGCTCTAGGCGGATATGTTGCTAGCTGAAAGCAGGGCCGCAACCAGTCTCTACCACGTTTTATTATCGGAGTCTCCAGCCGCAGGTTTCCCGCCACTGGAAGACGTGATGCACAAATTTGGGCAAACCTTTCTGTCAATTTCTACATCCTTCTGTAATTTTTGATGGCCTCAAGAAGCCTGGTGTCAGTGAGGTCATTTGTGAGGTGGATGAGTCTCCGATCACCAACCAACAGAGGCGTATGGACCGCTGGGCCGAGCACTTTCACTCGCAGTTCAACTGGCCTCCACCATCCATCAGTACATGCAGTACACCTTGTTGTCCACCTTGGCTCGTCCCATTGAATCCACCCAGCGAAGCGGAAGTCTACCTCGAGGTTCGACGCTTGAAGCGCTTCAAGCCTGCCGGCTTAGACGGACTTCCTCCGGAACTATTCAAATACGGCGGTGTGGCGACCATTAACCAGCTGACCGCGCTGTTCGCAAAAGTCTGGCATGAAGAGAAAGTGCCTTCCTCTTGGGCGAATCAATTATTGTCCCGATTTTCAAGAAAGGCGCTCGCACTTCATGTGCAAATCATCGCGGGATAGGTCTTATTTCAGTTGCCTCTAAGCTATTGGCATCCATTCTGCTTCGCAGACAATCCCCAGTACGTGAATCATACTACCGTGAAGAACAAGCTGGTTTTCGTCCTGGCCGTGGATGCATGGATCAAATCTTCACGCTCCGCCAGCTCCTCGAACATCGCCACATTTATCACAGACCCACTATCATTGCATTCCTAGACATACGTGCCGCTTGTGACTCCGTTGATCGACCTGCTTTATGGCGTTGTTTGCTAAAGAACGGAGTGCCGGAGAAATATACTGCCATCTTATGAGCATTTTACCTTTGTACATGCGGCAGAATGATGGTCTATGACAAGCTTTCCTCGCAATTCGCTGTCAATAGTGGTGTGCGACAGGGCTGCCATATGTCCCCATTCCTCTTCAACTTCGCAATCGAAGGCATTCTGACGAATGCTCTAGAAGGTTTCCAACATTTTGGCCTGGAGCTTCTGCCGAGTGAACGCTCGACCGACAGATTATGCTGATGATGTCGCCTTACTTGGTGACGATCCTCAGAGTATACAACTCATTCTGGATCGTTTACCGTTTGAAGCATCTAGTATGTCATAAGCTTTGCCCCATCGAAGTGTAAAGTACTGCTCAAGGATTGGCTTTCACCTGCTCCCGTGATCACTCTAGAAGGTGCACAACTTGAACAGGTAGATAGTTTCGTCTACCTTGGGAGCTGTGTTTCTGCTGACGGCGCTATCAACAAAGAAGTTTCTCTTCGTATCGCTGAAGCTCGATCAGCATTTGTCAATCTGAGGCACTTGTGGCATCGACGTCTCATTTTTACTGAAGGGCCGCATTTACAGCTCATTAGTTCGCTCAGTATTGTTGTATGGGTGCGAGTCCTGGCCGATTCGCGTGGAAGACATGCGTCGTCTTTCTGCCTTCGAAAACGGTTGCTTAATGAGGATTGCTCGTGTTTTTTGCCAACATCGTGTTACTAGTAATGCCGTTCGACGTCGCATCTTGGGGAGTGCGAGTATTCATTTCAACAAACTGGTTTTGTTGAGCAACTTATGATGGCTCGGTCATGTCCTGCGTATGGCACCTGAGCGTCTACCTCGTCGCGTTCTATTTGTTCGTCAAGAACCTGGCTGGAGGCGACCGCGTGGTGGTCTACCATCCACTTGGCGGCAGCACATGAAATCGCTGACGTCGTGTTTAATCGTTGTTGGATCTGTACCTCTTCCAGGATGGGGACCCAAAGATAAGGAGTGCCAATGGTTTAGCACTCTTGGAGACATGGCTCGCAACCGGAATCAGTGGAAGAATTGTGTACGATATTGTATTGATTCATATGCTTAATACTACAAACATTGAAAATGACAAAAAAGAGAAAAATCGGCGTATGAAAAACAAACTAAGAACGTTTTGTTCTACTTCTTGTCAACATGTTCCATTCTTCCTGCGGCATATTAGCTGAAGTGTGTTGCTCACCTTCAACTACCATGCCACGATGATTATGACTCGATGATTGTCCCCTATCCGCTGATCTCTATGGTTTTATGTTGGCTCTGTATCTAGTTGTTAGACTGCTTAGATTACTACTTCTGCTACTGCTACTGCTACTACTACTACTACTACTACTGCTACTGCTACTACTAAATCTGCATGGTTATATGGACAATACTTTAGTCATCCTCAATAAGTCTAAGCCGAAAGAGGTGCATTAATGAATGGGCTGTGTTTTTGATGACACCCGGTTCACTAATGAAGAGGAGGGCATTGGTCATCTGCTGTTTCCTGACGTTCTCGTAAATAGGCAGGTAGGTATCAGCAGTACGCCGGTCCGCAGTACCGACGCTTCGCTGCCGCACAACCACCGCCAATCTCACCTGGTCTAAGGATACTGCGAGGGTCGCTCTGCCTCTACGCAGGATCGACCCCGCGCCGTCAGCTGACGAGACAAGCGTGTTACCTTTAGGCTACTGTGACATTGGCAACAATGATTTATAGGAAACCAATGCATGCGAGCAAACTCCTGAGCTGTCGCAGCAATTACTAACAATTCTCCAACACTGCTCTATGTGGATTCTCTTTAAACGAAACTTAAGTCTCTGCAGCATCCAATACTTTACAAAAGTGGGAACGGATCACCAGTTCAGCTTTTGCAAATGGAGTTCATGCATTGTCAGACATAAGGAAGTAAATCACAATCCACATTTGCGACTGCGGCTAATGTGGAGCGAATTGTTCTACCGTATATCGATGAATTTTGAAACGGCAGCTACTTTTTTTAATGCGGTGTGGGATCAGATTTGCTCGAAGACGTACGAAAGCGACTCGTGGACTAGGCACATTGGTTCTAAGTGCGGTCTGAACAGTGGTGTAGCCTAAGATGGTATTTACAAACACTAGTACGGGAACCGCAAGGTAGGCCAGACAGGAGTAAATTTCTAGCGCTATAGTGCACGAATTTAGTATGTTTATCCATTGTGGTCACTCTTCACTAGAGAATCATCCACCTGACCCGGAAGGCCTGTAGATAATAGTAAGAGCAAGAAGCCGTCTTGCACGTTGGGTCAAAGTTCCATCAATACACACTTGGATCTTTACGTTGAAATACTGCTGGTATGTTAATTTGTTCGCCGAACTTGGTGATTCGCTTGTAGGTGTTCCGTCACTAATGGATGTGACATCCTTAGTTCGCCCATAGTAGTGGCTTCGCTGGTAGGCAAGGGACTTCGATAAGGTCCGAATGTACTTGTTTTCAGCACTGATTGAACTGATCCTATGATTCCCTAGGCTGTGTTAAGTATCGGCAGTAAGCCCGTACCTTGCGCGTAAACTGAGGTAGAAGCGGGAGCTTGAACTCTTAGGAAGTTATCTTGCACGACCACGAGGCGAGCCATCATTATCATCACCGTATTTTAGCTGGAGGTGAAAAACACTTCAGCTATTATGCTAAACTGTAAAAGGAGAACGAGATACTAATCATTACAGAACACAAAATAAGCCCTTACAGTTAAGTAATATAAGGCTTAGTATTATGTTATACAGTAAACTTTAAATCGTGCTTAGAGAGGAAGCCAAATGGGAGCGGGAGGGACAAAGAAACTCACACACAAGCTCCATTTGGATCTGCTTTCTGCCATGTCAGGGAGTTTTCATCGTTTTTCGGGCCCCAGCCTGGCATTCGGTAGACACCGACCGGGGGCGAATTCGAATTGTAAGGCTTCATACTTCTTGACCATGTCATCGATTGCGTTTCTCTTATAACGCTGCCCTGCAATCGACCGGTTGATTCATGCCGAATCAACCGGTCGATTGCAGGACAACGTTATAACATTTTCCCTCTTCCAATCCACATCCTGGTCACTCAACTAGCGCACATCATGGGAGTCGGTGTGCTGGTATGCGCAACACATGGCTCAGCTGTCGGAGCCTGCTACGTGATAGCGGTGCTCAGCGGGTTGCTCGCTCTTCTTGCACCAGTCAGTCTTTAAGGAACCTCCTTGGTGAGATTCATTGACCCGATTTTGCCTGACCTCTCTCCATTGGTTATCTGTTATGTATATGGCTATAGTGGTACCTGTAGAATTCCATTTAGCATTGCTTAGTTAACGTCATAGTGCGAAACTATTTCACGGCGTTAAGGCCGTGTTTCACCGTGATGGTTCAGACATTCGGTTATGTTTGCGTTATTATCTGATGTTCCTGATCGATCGGGTGTATTTGAATGGATTGAACGTAGTTCTATACATGCAATCAATCTGATTTAGACTCACTATATTTTCTCAAGCCCTTTTCTATTATGCACTGAAGGTTGCTAAAGAAACGTCTCCAGCAACACTGCTCATCTCGGAAAACAGCTCAATACATTGTCACTTCTATGCGGTTTACACGCTGGTGCAGAAACTCTGCTGAGAGAGCTGCGATAATACCGGAACCAAGACGCTCACCACATGGTGATTTCTTGGCTCAGTTCAGTTCATTTGAACAATCAAAGCGCGGTGAACCCAGTTGTCATGAATCACAACGCCAAGATATTGGGGTTGAATGCGAATGGAATGTATGCAAGAAGGAGGTGCGTTAGACTAGTCCGAGTGCAAAGAAACTTAACAGCCAAATGCAAGAAATCGAATGGAGGAACGCGACTGACTGCGTCACTGCGCCATGTCTGATACGGTCTCCATCCATTGGTGTGCACCATCCGGAGGCCCCCATCCAGGAAGACGGCACGCACCAGCTTCACCACGTCTATCAGTCAATTTCTTCATGCCTCTACGTCACGTCATCAACTGGGCACCTCGCGGTTTCGCCCACTATGGTGCGGTCACGGCGTATAATGCACGCCGAGAAAACAGGTCAACGGGCATACAGAGGACATGTCCTAGCCAACATAAGCTATTAAGATTCAGTAAACACTCGAGTGAGGCAACAGAAGGCTTCTTACGAAAAGCCAAATGGCGGACTTTAGCATTGCTCACGGGGTGTTCCCACCAGACCTGAGCAATACGCCACAAACACCGGTAGTCAAACATGGCCAAGCGTTTCATGTCTTCGCCGTGAACTGGCCATGTCTCTGATACCTACTGTAAGACCGGCCTTATCGCATTGTTATACATCCAACGTTTCACTGCTAGGATGGTATATCGCCATCTCCATAGATGGTTGAGTCTCTCGTAAGCCACATGGACCTTACGGATACGCGATGTAACCTCCTCAGTGATGTGACCACCAGTGGTGATAGTGCTACCAAGGTGGGTAAACCGATCCAACACTTTCAGTGGCTGTTCGGAAATAGCTGGAACCGGACTTTGATCAGTCCAGTTCTTCAGCGGTACTTCGTACTTTGAAGGTGCATAGCACATGCCTAAGCATGCGGGGCTACGCACCAACCACTGCGTTAAACCCTAAATGAGCTATTTTGTCTGCATACTCAAAGGTTGTCAGTCGGTCACCTGGCGGCACTTGCATTCCCGTAGAATCTGAAAGAACAGAGCCACTCATGGTCACTTCAATAACAAAGTTGAAGAGGAAAGAAGATATAGGACAACCGTGATACTCAGGAGACAGCTTCCCTTAGACCCTTATCCGGTTTCGGGATTCAAGATAAGGGATATCTAAAAATGGAAATGAATCTGCCTGGCACGCCCTTCACGGATATGCAGTGCTGCAAGTTGCACGGTCAGCAGAGTCGATGCTGATTTTCAACTCAAGAGAAACCACCATAGTCGGTCGTCTGTATGTCTCTGCTCTAAAACTTTGACGAAGAGTAAATATGTGCTCGATGCAACCACGACCAAGGCGGAAGCCAGCGTGACTTTCATTACCCTTAGGCCTAACCCAGGATGTGTTTTCCTCGCTCTCGTGTTCTCCATATCCTCACTTTGTTTCCCACCTTTCTCTGCTACCACAGACATCTGTTACATCCCATATGGGGTGTGAATTATAGCGGTGTTTAGCCTCACGGCTTAGCCAATGTATGAGGGAAGCATTGTTTGGGCGCTTAAATGATGTCTCGGCGTTTATCCGTTGTTCTATTGGTTTTCGGAAGACGTTTAATGCCACAACTAAGTGCTAACCAGTTCGCGAGCTCGCCTATATTACAGTGATTAGATACTACGCGGTGGAGTCCAGATTTTGATTCTACCACGAAGAATGCGGCTGTTCACATTGAGACTCACCTTGCCGAGTCTGTCGTTTTCTGAACATATATCATTGGCATATGCGTTGTGTTTGTCTTCCATACTTCGGTTATCTACGTTACCGATATTGTCTCGTGGCGCAATCTCAACGCCCTAGCTGTCGTTTTACTCCGTATATTTGTTTCTTTTTTGGTTTTCCTTCAGCTCATCTTACTATACGCTGTCACCGATGCTTACTGAGTGTTGCTCACATCTGGTGGGAACACATAGACAGTAATGCTGACGTCCGCCAGTTGATTTTTACCTCGAATCACTCAGATGCTTCAATCGAGTGTTTGTTAAAATTCAGCCGGTTGCGTTCACTAGGTCATGTTCTGCGTATGCTCGTCGATCGGCTTCCTCGGCGTGCATTACACATCGCCGCTGCACCAACTTGAGTGAAACTACGAGGTGGCGTAAAGGTATCACAAAACTGACTGAGAAACTTGCTCAGGCGAGTGCATGCCGTATTCGTAGATGTGGGCCTCCGAATGGTCCACACCCGTGGTTAGAGACTATCAGACACGGCAGTTATTTGCGCAGTCATTGGCACTTCTTCGTCCCACTTCTTGCGTGTAGCTGTTAACTTTTCATCCCGACTGGTTTAACGCACTTTCTTACTTCCATCCTTTTATATTCTATTAGTCTCTAACCTACTTTTTCACCTTTGATAGTTGCTGTTACTCTGGCAACATACGTGATGACAACTGGATCCACACCACATTTCGGTGCCTAGACCCAGTTGTTTAACTGAACTGTATACCTTGCAGTCGGGTCACGTGAGCTCACTTCCACATTTCTACCTCCCTTTTCTCTTTTGTTTCCCCTTCAGGTCAAATGGAAGTACATGATCATTGACGAGGGGCACCGCATGAAAAACCACCATTGCAAACTGACGCAAGTGTTAAACACCTACTACACTGCGCCATATCGACTGCTGTTGACTGGCACTCCGTTGCAAAACAAATTACCCGAACTGTGGGCCTTGTTGAATTTCTTACTGCCTACCATTTTTGAAAGTGTGAATACATTCGAGCAGTGGTTCAATGCACCGTTTGCCGCGACCGGAGAAAAGGTGCCTACGTGTTTCCGTGTTATACTATTATGTGTTTAGCGTTGTTGTCGCTAGTTTTCTTTATCTATAACAACCATCATACCTAACATTAATTGGCCGGTACCCTCATCCAGCCATACTCATTTGCGTGTGGACCATCTGTCACGCTCATGTGCCTCCTAGTACTACTCTGTGTGTGTGTGTGTGTGTGTGTTTTACACACGAGTGCGCCCTGCATGTACTTACCAGGGCTGCAGTTAGCAAATAGCTACTGCGGGGAATGCGTGCGAAATCCATACTCTTTTAATCTTTTCATCCCACTTACTTACTGACTGTACCTTCACTCTCCTAGTGCATACAGAATTTTTGAAGTTACAGCACTTGTACTTCCGATTTCGGTGTTCATTTGTTCATCCATGTAAGCGCTCAGTTGTTGACTAGACCTTTCTCCGAAACATTCTTATCTATAGTGCAATATCCTCTCCTCACCTTATTCCCCCGGAGTTCACATTAATCACATATGTCGTGACCCCAATCATGATTGGAAGCATTTAAGCACGTACCGCTTCTCCCTTTATGTTAGTCTCCATGTCAGTGATTGTCTAGTATATTATTGCTTTTTACAATATGGTACCACTGATCATTTTTTCGTTTTGGCTTGGTACTTGGATCCTGTTTTCCTGTCAGTTACAATTACCGATTCATCACCTCGGTTAAATTTAGGCCGTGCATTCGTCGGTAGCCACCACTTCCATCAGCTGTTCAAGACCCTTCCACCTTCTTGTTGCATTATCTAGGTGGAACTAAACCAAGAAGAGACGCTTCTGATCATTCGACGTCTGCACAAGGTACTTCGCCCATTCCTGTTGCGTCGCCTCAAGCGGGAAGTCGAGTCACAGTTACCTGAGAAAGTTGAATATGTGATCAAATGTGACATGTCTGCTCTGCAGCGAGTTCTCTACTCTCACATGCAGTCAAAAGGTGTCATTTTGACCGACGGCTCTGAGAAGGACAAGAAGGTGAGTATTCCGTTATATACGTTGAAGTCTGAACGCCTCTCCGTGCTCATGTATCCTAATAAAGTCTGCACTTCTCAATGTTGCATTATGAATTAATCATTATTCTGATTTGCGCTGTCTACGCAGGACATGACAGGTTGGCGCTAAACACGTCAACTGACATCCTCATGGTTCGCTAATTCGATTATTTTTCGACCATGGGGCATAGCGTCGGAAACGATCTGAATCGAAGTGATCCAATTCGGACCACGATTGTCTTCTAATTTAAGCGTACGTGATGCAATTAACAATCTCTCGGAAGCGACGCAAAAAGCATCGCGCTGATGGCAAGACGCTTTTATCCGACTTTATTGGACTTTTTCTTGTGTGAATATTTGACATTTGATCTGAACTTGGGGGTTTGGTTTTCTGGTGGTCTATTTCACCTGTCTTTGCTTAACCAATTTATACGGAAATTGTGGACTGAATGAATATCTGTATAAGTGGATGTGTCTCACCACGTTGCTCCCGGAGCTCAGCGCTTTCATGACAATCGTGCTCCAGGAGACGCGGCTACGTGGAGCTGTAGTCAAGCCATCAGTCATCAACAGCGCCTGGATTCCCGTTTCTTGTTGAAACCTTAAAATTATCCTGTTCCCCTTTTGTGCGCATCATCTTTGGCCGACGCAAACCTTTCGCGTGTTGGAATCCACGGCAAATTACTGTACGCTTTTCAGACGACATATGGAGCTGGCTACTTTGTTCTATCCTCTATACCCCATTTTCAAGAGGATTCAGTATATAGCATCTCACAATGCAGGCAGGTACTGGATTACCGCACTGAAGAAAGCTGGTTGTTCTGGAGTATATAGGGATGCTATCACGAGCGAGGGTTATGCTTTGCACCGTCGAAATGCAAACTTCTGTATTACTGCGCTGACCCTTGGTGGTGTACAGCTAGAAGTTGTCGAGAAATTCCAAGTATCTAGGCATATATATAAGCGCCAGTGGAATTGACGTTGAGATCACAAACCGCATAGTAAAAGATCTAGGCGCTTTTGTCAATGTCACCAGAGCATGGGAAACGAACAGTGCGGAATAAGCTGAATTCAGTATATTTCGCCTGTTCTCTTCAGCTGCTTACATACAATGGGTGAAAAGTTTAAACGTTTGGGTGTAATAGGTCAATACTAGAACTCGATCGTTAGCTGCACTGGCTAGCCTGTCTTACCTCATCAAGGCAAAGCAAGATCGGCAAGATTGCATGGGTTAGGCTTCAAACGCCGGATCTCGGAAGTCTCAGCAAAACGCAGCAAATTGTGGTTTCTCTATCTTTTGATGACCTTGAATGCTTCGCGGCGATTCTGGCACATGGAGCAGTCGGTGCTGGCAGGTACTGTTGCGGCACTTAGAGCAAGGTTCCGCGGAATGTGGAATCCGAGTGGACAACCTCCTCTCTGTCCGATCAATGTACAAGCTACCGCAAGTACAGTTAAACTAGTCAACACATGAGTCGGTGATAGTAGAGTGAGTCCTATCCAGATCGAATTCATGTAGTAGCTTTTTGGTTCTGTAGAGGAAAACAAGTTCAGCTGTATAGTAACATCTCTTTATGGGATGCGAACTACCGCCACTTGTGGCGCCGGCATGACATTACTCTCGCTCTGAAGGGCGGAGTTTACAATGCAGCCGTTCGTTCAACCCTCGTATACGGTTGCGAAACCTGGCCCATCAAGTCAACAGACATATAGAGGCTTGTTACGTTCGATCATCGCTGCCTTCGTAGCATAGCTCATGTCTGGTGGGGACGCCGCGTGAATACTAAGCGTTTTCGGCATCGCTTATTCTGTGCATGAAGAGCCAGTGAATTACTCAACACCATTATATCATGTACCAGGCTCCGATCACTGGGCCACATGTGGTGCATGTCAGCACATCGACTCCCGCATCGTGCGTTGTTTGTGCGCCGGGGTCTGGGTGAAAGAAGAGTAGCCGAGGCCAAGCGATGACTTTGTCAAGAGGAATGAAGTCCCTCACTTCGAAGTTGGCGTCGGTTGGTGTTTCTGTACTGTCTGGACGGGATCCGAAGGATACTCTGTGACATGGCGAGCAACCGACCTGAGTGGCGTTTGTGTTGTGGGCTCTTTGGTCCCTCCCTTCCCCTTTAGCTTTCCCTCAAACATCGATCTCAGACCGTATGCGTGATGTGATATTTAACATTATGTTTCCTTTTTATGACGTTTTATCCTGTATTGTTTATTCTCTTGTCCTTTTGTATTGCAGCACTTAGCTGTGGTATGTCTTACCCTAGTCTGACGTTTATTCATGACGGTGATGCTGTGAATTCTGTGGTTTCGGTACATTCGAGTGGCCAGACGAAGTGGGGCTCGCAGAGACATAGTAGAATTCAGATGTGATTACCTGGGAAATTGAGCTCTTTGCCTACTCATGCAATCGCTGCAATAGATTCTCGATTTCTCGAGACCTGTGAGACTTGTGATCGTCTACAGAAGCGACGATGGCATGTGTCAGCAGCTATGGTGCTCGATCCACATCAGGCGCGGGTGCACTATATCGCAGTTCCCTGAGTCGTTGTTTGAATTGGCTGCTGCATCTTTGAAGCCACATGGATCGTCTCCATTTTTACTCATGGGTTATTTCACTTATCCCCGAGTACGCTGATCTGAAGTACAGCTCATGCCCGGACATTCTGAGGTCGAAGCAAAGTTCGTGGACTTGGTACTTGAAAGTGGAGCATCGCAACATATATGCCAACCGACACGTATAGAGCCGATCTCAACTGCATCGTGCCTAGACTTGGCGTTGACAAGCTGTATGGTGTTCAGATCTCGGGGCCCTTAGCGGCAAGCAACCACTCAGTGCTCAAGGCCAACATGGACCTACCTTTACCGTATTTCCGTCCGCTGGAGCAAGCTTACAACTATTTGAAAACCGATTCCGACGGTATAACTGAAGCCGCGAGTCAAGTGGATTGGTCTCTACCTCGAACTGCATCTATGGAAGACTTACGGGCTGTTATAAGAGAGGGGGAGACACTACTGCTTTTGCTTTGTACCACTGAAGTGTCGGAAAACTGGGCCAGTCAAATCACCATGGTTCGACGAGGAGCATGGTGAAATGGCTCGGTGGCGGCACAAATTGGGGGACAAATTCTTCCTCTTCGACCCTTCCAACGGATACGACGCGTATAAGAGGCAGGGAAATATTTGCAACAGTGTCAAAACGAACAAGCGTCGGCATTCCGAATATCATATCGCAACCATCACAAAGTCCGCTTCGAAAAGAATATTTACTTATGTAGAGCGGCACCAGCAGGTGATCTACAGTGCTAGAGCGCTCGGATGTTCAGCAACTAACTTCCAGCATTGATCGTGTGTCTAGGTTGGCGGTGCACTTTGCTTCCTTGTTTGCAGATGGTCAGTGTCTGTACCGAGTTCGATTAGTATTGCGCCTACGGAATTCGACAGCCTGGTTTGTGGTGTTGAAGTGGTGTGTCAAGTACTGGCCGATACTGACGGCACTAGATATGCTGACCTTGACGAACTCTACCCACCGATTCTCTAAGTTCCTATCGGCCATCATATCACATGCTGTGAGTGACCTGTTCAGCGGGTTACTATCCAAAGATTCCTTGCCGAGCGACTGAAAATGCTCAGTGGTAAAGCCGATTCCGGAAGCCGGTGACCTCAGCAAAGTGGATAACTACAGGCCAATTTGTATGACGCCTACTTTTGCTGTGGCTGCCGAGAAGGTTGTGCAGAACTGGTTGCTACAGCTGTTCCGGTCGAAAATCTACTGACGTTCGCACAGCACGGTTTTATGATAGTCCGCTCATACATTACCAACGTACTATTGACGAGTTATAAATGATTGCAAGCACTGAACCAGGAGAAATCTGTCGACGTAATCTACATCGATTTTAGCAACGCATTCAACTTGGTGAGCCACGAAACTCTCCTCGACAAGTTGTGAGTCTGTTGTGTTGGTGGATCACTACACCAGTGTGGATTCAGAACTTTCTCCTTGGACGAAATTGGAGAGAGTACAAGTTGATAGCCATCAAACAGACTGTTATCGCTCTCTATCAATGGCGCGTACCCCAAGACATGGTTCTAGTGCCCACTCTGTTCCTTGATCCACACCACCGATTTACCTTAGCTTATCCGGTCGCCGTGTGCCTTATGTGCGGACGACATGAAGATTTGGAGAATAATTAGCACCCCCGGACAACTGCGGCCTACTTTAGCACGACTTCACTCGCCTCTGCGTGTGGTCCGTCTCCCAGTGAACCTAAGCAACTCGTTATTCAAGAGCGTTGGGATGGGTGGTGACGGCCTAGTTTAAATCCTCGACAGCCAACCGCTACGTTCTACGACTTTTGGGAATGACATAATTGCACTCTTGTTGCTGCGATTTAAAGTCCGTGGATAACACGAACAGGCTACATCAGCGGACTGCGCTCAAACGTACCTTTATCTGGAACACGGCTCACCCGCGTACTGTCCAATCACCCGAGGCAAAGCACAGAAGCTCGAACGGGTCCAACACGTCACTACCAGACTTATTCCTAGTTTACGAGGATTACCATACGAAGACCAGTGCGAGAAATTAAGACTCTACACCTTATCCTGTCGTTGGGTGTGCGTCCAGCTCATCATGGCCTACTGCATATTACACCTCGATGACTTCCCCATGATGAGGCCGCTGCTTCAATTGCAAACGCCATGCGTCATACGCAAACATCGATACAAGTTTGTGGTGCCGGATATGAAGCGAGTTCCCCGCCTCCTGTGCTTTGAACGAAGAGTGGTAAATGTTTAGAACAACCTGCCAGAACAAATCGTGAAGGCCAAATCGGTGCATGAGTGCAATACGTTGTTGGATTTACATTTCATCACCATTAGATTCAGATAACGCTCGTACATTATTAGTGACCTCATACCTTTGTGAGCATAATAAAACTGTAGGTCAGATATTTTTAAATGTTACATAAGAAATTGGAGAACAATTTGAATCTGAACATGTGGCATACGCGTTTTGTGACATTTCTGCTTATAATCCGATGCAGTTGTACAGATTTAAATATCCACTTGCTCCCACAATATAGTATTCAGTTGCTGACGGAACTTTGCTAATGTCGGGTGGCGCAAATAGGATCACAAACAATTTTGTAGACGGCAAGGATCAGGTCTCCTCGTTAGATCGACACTTTGAAGTGAGTAAGTCGAACTGGCCTGGGTACCTAACTGAGAAGGACCTTATTTTGTCTAACTTAACTGGGCTGGCTGGCTGGCTGGACTGAGGTCCATCCGTTATTTTTCAGCAGGAAATGAAGTCACTAACCACTAAACTGGGTACCATTTGCTAGTGTTCTCTTCCAGGCTGAATGCTACCCGACTCTAGTTCGAGACCTTAGAGAGCGTGACTCGCAACCCAGCACCAGCGGTTCATTTTCTGCTCTCTGGCCCATTTGGACTGGCTTCGTATGTGCTCGATTACCTATGGAGTACCATTAGTGGTGACTCGGTTAATTGCAGTTCGCAAGGGAAGCGCCTCGCATATGTCGCGTTATCTTCGTACGATAGCAACCTGTTCGGGGCGGTGTGGTATTACCAGTGCATAGGGGGCCTGTCCCTGGGTGTTCCCTTTGGGCACTTACATTTTGAAGTAGGTCATTCTCCCTCCCCATTCTTTTACATCCATAGAATCGTCATGGTTGTGCAGCAGCGGATTATCGGCTGACATACTGATGTTAGTTTTGACAAGTACACTGCGCTTATTCATGTATGCCGAATGGCGGTTATACTTGTTGCGACCGAGGATAATCTGTACTGAACCACATATATGTACCTGTCTCCCTCTTTCCCACTATTATTTGGATTATCCATCTTCAGAGCATTGATGATATCACCTCGACAGGTGATGAGACAAGATCTGTGAACAAATTAACATCCATACGTTCGTAGGTGTTAGCATTTTTGATCTTGTGGCTGCCGGTTCCATCGCCTTTGCCACTTGGTTGGCTGACATTGAATGTAACGCTTGTGTTGATCTAGGAAGCTTTTCTGTTTATTACTTACGTGTTTTATTTGAGAACCGTGTTTTACGTCGGAAATGCTTCGATCATCTTGCTCCTTAAGATTGTATTTGAAGTAGACAGGATGTGTCCGTTTCCACCCTCATTGCATTTCGCAGCTGGCTCCTCAGTTACTGCCTGCATGAACAAGGTCTAATTTGGAGGGTCCTGTTCAAGCTTTCCGTTCTAGAAACTAGCACAATCGCAAATCAAGTGAATGTCTAACCACATCAGTCTTTGGTCTTTACATAGTCGTTAGTGGTACGTCGACACACTGTACCAACTCTTTCCTGCCACGCGCCCAGCATCAGTCCCGCTAGGACTGGTTATACCGCGAACTTACTCGCACCTACGCGGATTCGAACCGGTGACTTTCGAATTATATCACAGACTCGTAATTCTTTCGGTCAACGGTCGGCATTTATCGTGATCCACGAATTCGGAACTCCCGTGTGAAATATCGTTTTGCGCTTCTCACCGAGCAAGGCATATGTTCACATCTGATCGTTCTTGACGGGACGAGCTGGCTGTGCAGGGACAGGTTAAATACATGTCGACTGTTTGACTTGACCTGTTGCCCTCCTCTCTTGCCTCTTGCCTTCTGACCGAACTTTTGGCCGATCCTCTGTTTGGCCTACTTAAAATGCATTCATCCTGGAATATCTGTAGTGTTGTTTACCTCAAACGTTTCATCCTACGGGGAAACACCGTCCCAGATTACTTATTTGAATCCCAACCCAGCAGTATCTACGCAAATATAGCCCAACCATTCAGGAGACCAGTGGTGGTGTACCTTACGCAACATTGTAAGTAGGTGCTGTTCATGTGGTCGGGATAACTGAGGTTCACCTCTGTACGCCGCACGATTTCCGTCATCTGGCTCACACTCCTCGTGGCGAATATTCTACACCCGAGGTCTAGGTTTGTTCCGTGTATGCGCTGTATATTCACCGATGTACATGCTCGATCTGTTAGGTGACATTTTACGTCGGATTTCTGACTTCTTTAAATCGATGCACTCATCACTTGCTGATACGCATCAATTTTTATCTCATTGTCCCGGATTGACTAAAAATTGTCTCCCATCTGTGGTTGAATTTATTTGACTTTGCTCTATTCGTCCCCTAGCTACCCGGGGTAAGACTGTTTCTTTTGTTAGCGACTTCCAACTTTCTCGGTTCCTCGTTGCCTCTTCTCCTGCCTTCTCTGTTTGATCGAGCCTCTTTATTTTCCATTCCATCCAATAGGGAAAAGGAGGCTGCCGTACTCTGATGAACACCATTATGCAGTTGAGAAAGATTTGCAACCACCCCTTCATGTTCTCACACATTGAGTTGGCCATAGCGGAACAGAATTTCCTCTCCCAACACGGAGGGAATCCACCATCAGGTGTTCCAATGCCAACACAAGTGGAGGGCAAAATGTTATACCGAGCTTCGGGGAAATTCGAACTGCTGGATCGCATTTTGCCCAAACTCAAGATTTGCGGTCATCGAGTACTCATTTTCTGTCAAATGACCAGTTTGATGACGATCATGCAGGTGAGTGGAGGAGATGCTCACCTTTGTCCCCTCTGAACATGTGTGTTCTAATTTGCATTTTTGTTTCCTAGATTACGTCATTATATCGCACAGCACTCTCCGTAGTGGCTGTCTGAGTTTTCGACTTTGCATCTTGTAAGAGATTGCTGTGAATGGCCTGATATCTCACGTACAGGTATTGTATGTATGTCTGAGTCGTGTTAATATTTTGTTGGCGGAGGCGGTGAGCAGTGCGCATTTGGCCATCTTACCTAAGCGCCTTTCCAGAACCCTATTTTTACTCCATCGAGGCAAGCCCACTTGGTCTTCGTCCCTGCGCTATTCGGTCGGCCCGATAACAGTGATTTTAAAAAAGCAATATGCATCTATCTTTTTAACTGTTCACACAAAGGATCGGGTCACAGTGCACAATTCCTTAATAAGGTACGATGTGTTTATGTTCTCAATATGAGAGTATAAAAAGCAACTTATGAATGTTACAGATCGTGGAGAAATAAATGTTGCGTTTCCGCTGACAATACGAATAACCGATACGGCTACTCGGGTCATCCCGAAATCTGGGTCTGGTTGGCTAGTTTTGAACGTGTAGATCTTGATCGATCTGGCTATGTGTAGGTGTGTCGGATAGCAGCTGTTTGGCCTTGTTACCATACTCCGGTTTGTCCATTATCACTGTCATGCGCCCTTTGTCCGCTGGTAGGATTACAACGTTCTCATCTTTCTGTAGACGTCTGAGTGCATCCTGTTCCTTCTTGGCTAGGTTCTGGGTGACTTTATTCCGAGTTAGCACTGGGACAACGGTCTGCCGTATCTGTTGCTGTGACTCCTACGACAGTCCATTTGATTTCAATGCGTGTTCTAAGCTAGCCAAGTAGTCTTTGAGACAAGCATCTTTGACGTTGAAGTTGAACCCCTTAATTCTCTTCAGTTGCAGTGAGGTGGCGGCGTGAAAGGTTTTTGATCCATCCTTCACTGCTAGCGCAGCCATTTCGCTTAATCAGTCTGTGTTCAGTGCAATCTTGCGTCGGTTCTTCGTGCTTTTGACTCGACGTTCAATTGCGTTTTTCAGCACTGTTCGTAGCTGTGGGTCAATAGTACTGAGGCAATTGGTTCTAGTGTCGATTATATCTTTCTCATATTTGCGTAGGCGGTTGTGTGGTCAAAGGACATCTACCCATCAACCAAACTGAACGCGGATCGAAGTCCCAACCAATAGGACTGCTCGTCTCCACTGGCAACCACGGCGGTGTAATAACGCACGCACACCACGCTCAGCGAACTCATAGAGCCCCTCTACGCTAGTCTACGCTATTGCACGCCACTCAGCTACGCACTAATGACGTCACCTCGATTGGTGACGAACGTTTGCAACAAAATTGCCAACCTCAGCGAACAGTTCAACCGCAATTGCACTATGTTCTCTGCCGCTGTAGGTCGTAGGATGTGTCGAAGTACCGATACGACCTACTCTGGAACCTCCGTTCACTTAGACGAGATGCATCGGTCCGACCAAATTTATCACTCAGTTTCGTTGCGACTATTTTTAACCAACGACTGGCCGCAACTTGCGAGTACAGCACCCTATAGATGATCGGCAGATGTTGCAAGGATGGGATATTATGAGCTTAGGTAGTTTAAGTGCAAATGGTTGCCCGGTGCAGCACATCAGAGAGAGTTTGTTACCAGCTACTAACCCTTAGTGCCCGTCTCCTCTCCATTCAGTACGAAAACTGCTGTAGCCCGATTGACTGTTATCTCGATGCCACCATTGATAATAGAGATCCCGAACTCTTACGTACACCTTCCTACTTTTGTCACTAATGGCGATACTGTTGGTTAGGCACGTGAGCTTCGACAACAGCTTGCACACTGAGGGTGCCAAGCCCTTGCCTGTTCTAAGTGCATATTTTCACTGTTAATCAGATGGAGCAGAGACCTTGGTGTGTTCCTTTCAATCAAATTTGGAAAGCGGAAATGTAGAACAATCTTGATGCGCCCTGTTTGCCATAGGAAACTCGGAGCGAGCGATTCCAGTGGGTCCATACGTTGACCTGGGAGTCACGGTGTATGCAGTACAGCACCGCAATTTTCTGTGACGCACTTTTCTTCAGAAAACTGCTTTCTTTGTTCGGGCAATGAAATGAGTTGAGGGTAGTGTCCAATTTAAGGTGAACTACCATGGTGAGTTGCCTGTTGCATGTTAATGTCCAGGCTTTCTTGATGTTTCTTTGCTTGAATCGCACAAGACCATCGGACCACTGTAGTTTAGTGCGGTTAGATTGACTGAAAAAACAAATTAAAATAAATAAATAAAATGTATATTCTCGATGTTACACGAGGCACACCAAAGAAGGCATGATCAGTTTTGTACAATCGGATATGCGAAAATTGCTGTTTGATCAAATATTAATCTTGGCAAGTGTAAGTGATGAGGTTCGTGAGATCCAGGACATTAGTCGTGGTTTTGGTAACTGTTTGCATGTTGAAATAGCAAACTGTTTTGCGAATGCGAAGCAGCTGGTGGAAGCGAATGATGATTTAGATATTTATCACAAGCAAATGTAGAATCAGTGACTCAAATTGTGTTTCGGTCAGTTGGATTGGTTTGACCTCGAACCGATTGCTTGCGGCGCTATCCACAGTCACCTGTCGTCCATTTTTCGCCCGCTCGTCGTAAAATCTGGCGTCAGATTTCCTTCGGGCCGCGTTGAATTCCTTGTCCGTATCCAGTTGTGGGAACCGTGAGCCTTATGGGAGTGGGGATGAAGGATCGTCCGCCATCGTTACAAGGTTCCACAGGTGCCAGCCAACATGTCTGGAACACTCGGAAAGAAGAGCATCAGACAACCAGACGGAAATGCGATGGAATCGTACAAGAAAAGGGAAGCACATGCAACAAAATATTAACCGTCGAACCATCATATACATGTTATCTGCGTTGCCTTAAATGTTATTATAAATGAGTCCTTACGAAAGGATAAGCAGCGGCGAATGCGAGGAGATGCGAGTTGGGGCCGGATGCCCGATAAGCGCGAAGAGTAGAAAAGGTTGCAACTTGTGAAGGGTACGTGAGTGTTGTCTGTATATACGAGGCTATGTCGCTGAGGTTGATGTTGCATTCGTGATGCTTGTTCACCGCAGTTAGGCTAAACCAACTTACACTTAAGCTAGGTCCTTTTAATGTGGATAAAATCCATTACACTTCATTTCGTTTGTTCTGCGTACCTGATAATCTTCCCTTAACTTGCACACGTCGCTCATGCTCATTGTGGTAAACTTGCGTAATTTTATCGCGTGGCCCCTTAGATCAGCGGACATAAAGAGGCTAGTTACGTTCGATCACCGGTGCCTTCGCAATTTGGCTCACATCTGGTGGGAACACCGCGTGAGCAACGAGAGGGTTCGACGCCTTGTTTACGGCACAGGAAAAGCAAATGAACCGCTCAGCACCGTTATTTCACGCACCAGGCTCCGATGGCTCGTCCACGTGTTACGCTTGCCAGCCCACCGACTCCTGCGTCGTGCGTTGTTTTCTCGTCGGGGGTGTGGATGGAAGGAAAGGTGGCCAAGCGATGACTTGGTCGAGAGGAATGAAGGCCCTCACTTCGAAGCTGGCCTCAGTTGGAGCGTCTCGGCTCCCTGATTGGGGTCTGAAAGACGAAGAACACGTTTGGTTGGATACACTTGTTGATATGGCTAGGAGACGACATCTTAGCCTCCCACTCCAACCACGATCTCATTATTTAGCATTTTATAAGTTTGCATAGTAAATTGTTTATTTTCTGCTGCATAGTATCCGGCAAGTAGCTTACTGGAACGATGCCCATCCGTTACCGGTAGCTCAGTTGGCTTGTACCTGTTGCATTTTATTTCCTTTTTCTTTTAGGTAGTGCGGCACAGTAGCTGAGGTGTTTCCCACCTCTAGCTAACGTGTATAGTGTGTGTGTGTGCGGTATTTTTTAAATAACCTCCGGACATTTTGTACTTATCGCGGATTCACTTATAACCAATTTCTTCCATATGCTCATTTAGCGAGTATTTATGTCGTCATATGCGTTTACTTTATTCGATATCTGCATTTCGAACGACTGGCTGTTGTTTGACATCCCATGTGTGGCTGCACTTGATGTGCATGTTGACAAGGTGCCTACCTGTATCGAGGCAGATAAGTAGATACATGAGCAAGAACACTTGCAGAAGCTAATGCGCTGCGTCGCGCCGTGTAAGTCAGTAATCTTTCCCTGTTGGGTGAAACGAAGAATTGGAGACTGAGTAATGGCAAGCAAAAGGTGGGGCTGGATGCTCATCTACAGCGAGGAGCCGAAGCGGTTGGAGCTAGTAGTTCGTTACGTGTGTACTAACACATACGACGCTAAGGCGCTACATCGCGCAAGATGATTAAGCCTTCCCCGGATATTTAGGGGAAGAAAGCTAATGAAGGCTAAGCAATGGCATGCTTTATATGGGGCCAGATTTGGGCTGTTGGTGATGACGACGGATTACTCGGTTAGCTACATTGTCAGATTTCAAAGTTAGAATCGGTGTGAGCCTCATCATATCTCATCTTCAGACTGGGTTAGGCCAAGAAATTCTGCAATAGGGATTGAGTCGAGAAATCGGCGTAAATTAGTGCGGAATGCTACAGCCGTTGGTATCGCTCTGATTTCCTTTGGCAACCTGTTCCAAGCGAACGCACATCTATAAAAAAAGAAGCTAGAGCGTATGCACGTACGAGCTTTCGGTGAGATGATCGTATAGGGTCTAGTCCGTAATGGGTAGCACTCATCCGCATTCTGTCAAACAAAGAACTCGATATTAGCGTTTGATAAATGCGGAAGGTCCCTTGCACCTTTTTAGTTCATAGATAATGCCCATGGAAAAGTAAAACACAGCGTTGCAGAGAATTCTCTTTTCGGTAGTTCACATCAGGCAATTACAGATACAGGACTAACAATTGCAACAGCAAACCGGTGAAGGCAAAAAATGAGGACGAATGGGACGGTTTGAATAGATTTAGCATGTTCGTTCGATGTTCAAATCCATTTAATCAGGTGACCTCTTGATAGTGCTAACCGACAACAAAATGACTTATGTAAACAGAAGGGGAAAAAATACTAACAATACAAATATTAGTTAGTTACATAAATAAATAGCACCCAGTTATGCGTAATATTCCGGAGGAAGAGTTATCATAAGTTAACTCCTGTTGGCTCCCAACTTCCTCTTCTATACGGCTTGCCTAAAGTACACAAGTCTACGTCCAATAATTGACATGTCCTCTTATACACACCACTTAGTTGCGAAATGGTTTGTGCGATTATTGGAACCTGTACGTAAGGAGCTCTCTATTCATTCTTTGAAGGATTCGTTCGAATTCGATGAGTAAGTTAAAGACCTGAAGTTAAATGGTAAAATGATGCTTTCTTTTGATGTAGAATCCCTTTTCACAACCGTTCCATTGCTGGAAACTGTTAATTTCATCTGCGAGTATATAACCGAAAAGAACCTAAACGTTGGCATTCCAGTGCCTAAGCTCAAGGAGTTAATATTTGCGGTGTACCTTTAATAGACACTTCTTGTTTGACGGCATCTATTACAGGCAAATCGATGGCGTGGCGATGGGGTCCCCCCTTGGACTTCTCCTTGCTGACATCTTTCTCGCTAAGCTTAAGCGTGGTCCCATCCAAGGGGTTATTGCCTCCTTTGATTCTTATTGGAGGTATATGGATGGCATGCTCATCATCTGTGATTCTCTCATTGATTTCAACCATGTGCTCGACCAGTTCAACAGTGCACATCCCTCAATGAAGTTCACCAGTGAAATAGGAAATGAAGGTAAGCTGGCTTTTCTGGACGTTTTGTTGAGGAGGCGCGAGGACGGATCACTTGAGCGTACTGTCTTCCGCAAAGCTACTTGGGTTGGACAGTACACACACTTTTCGATCTTCGTCCCTTTGAAGTATACACGCAACGTAGTGCGTTGTTTGTATTACTGGGCCACCAACATTTGTAGTCCGGAATCTCTCGAGGATGAGAAGGACCGAATTGTGAAAACACTTCTTTCGGATGGATACCCTGAGCCTTTCATCAAAAAGCACGCCATGACCCGTGAGCGCGTTAAGCCCGTAGCAACGGTTCCGAAGAAGGATGTGTTTCTCTCTGTTCCTTTTAAAGGAGATATCGCCTTCGATCTCCTGGACAGGAGACTTTCTAATGCCGTAGCAAGGACGTACTCGGCCGCCCACCCGCACGTAGTTGCTGAGACCGCTCCTTTCAGCGTCGTCCGAATCGTACATTGTTTACCAGTTTACTTGCACCTGTGGTGCCAAGTACCTCGGGTATACGACTAGGCGTCTGTCGGTGCGGATGGCTGAGCATTGTCCAGGGTCACTGCGGAGAGGCATGCTCAGAAGTATCAACAGCGCGATCATGGAACATTTGATTCTAAATGGGCATCAGATATTGACGAAAGATGCTTTCAAAATCTATTATGCCGTACCGAGGCGATACCCGAAAGGTTTAAGGAAACGCCTCACAGACGGCTGAAGCCATCACTATCCGGCTAACACAACCAGAGCTATGCAAGCCTTGACTTTGCCATGGCCCTGATGATCAGTCTTCCCCCGGAGTATTACGCATAACTGAGTGCTATTTATTTATGTAACTGACTAATTTTTATATTGTTAGTATTTTTTCCTCTTCTGTTTACACAAGTCATTTTGCTGTCGGTTAGCCCTATCACGAGGTCACCTGATTAAATCGATTTGAGCATCGAACGAACATGCTAAATCTGTTCGAACCGTCCCATCCGTCCTCATTGTTGACTTCACTAGTTTACTGTTGCAATTGTCAGTCCTGTAGCTGTAATTGCCTGATGTGAACTCCCGAAAAGAGATCTCTTTGCAACGCTGTTTTGTTAGCTTTTGAATTGTGCGGTATCTGAAAGAAGAATACCAGGTTGAGTTTGAGCCTCCGGAGTCACCATGGGTTTAGCTGGAGCTGTTTGCATCTACCTCGATAGTTTAGTGTAGGTGGTTCCAGTAGTCGCTTAGTGAATGAACGTTGCACTCTCTCATTTGCTTGCTATTCTCTCACTTTTCCGCTAGTTAGTTAATACTAAGAAGCAGTATTCTAGGATGGGTCAGGTGCAGCACTTGTATAAGTCTGGATTCCTTAAGCACCATCGACTTACAATATGAACCGTCCCTTTATGGGCTCGGTTTCTCGGTACCACGAGGAATATACATTATTATTATTATTATTATTATTATTATTATTATTATAGATATCTGAAGTACATGAATTGTGTGTTTGCTCCGTACAGACTGTCCCCTCTGGCTCACAGAATCCTTTGTCCGTATTTGAACGTTAACAGTGTCTTCTATTTTCCTGACACCCCTAGTCTTTTTCACGTCTAATTTTCCTTCAAATCTTATCCGCCTTAATAACTTGCTTTTTGACCTTTCACTTCCTCTTCTGCCTGATATTCTAGGACTATTTCGATTACCGCAACTTCCGGTATCTACGTCTAGACGGCACCACACGCTCGGAAGATCGAGGGGAGTTGTTGGTCAAATTCAACGACACCACGGAAGACATCTTCATTTTCCTGCTCTCCACTCGAGCTGGTGGTTTGGGGCTGAATTTGCAAGCCGCCGATACAGTCATCATATTCGACTCCGACTGGAATCCGCATCAAGACTTGCAAGCACAAGATCGTGCGCACCGTATCGGTCAACAAAATGAGGTGAATAGCTTCTCCCCCAGAGAACAACTTGTTTCTCATACGTTGTTTCTCTCACCGAGTTTTTCAGTGCGTTGATAGAGAAGGTTTAATGCCCATGTTAATTTTCTCACTTTCAAGACTCTTCCACCCTTTTGCGTTACGCTATGTTCTTGGGGTTTCTTTTACGCCAACATATTTGTCCACATCCCCAGATTCCGATGCTCCTCTTTCATTTACTGGACCGTGTCATCTGTTATCTTCGCTTTCACACGTCGATAGTTAGCTTGTTATGCTGGAGCTGGAGTAAGTTGGCTGAACTCGGTAAACATCTTAGCTACAGATCGGCTTTTAGACTGTGGTTACCACCAACTGTAATCTATAAGTGTCAGCCAATGAGTGTCACCAATTATTTCCTCTAGTCGAAAGACTATCATGATAAAGGATGGTTTTCTCATAGACTGCAACGTAACCTTTTTCAATAATCCGTAAAAGGGTCCGGTTTTACTCTTATCCTTGGCTCACGTCGGGATTTTCACAGTTTATTATCTGGAACCTTACATCACCATACAGGTTCGTGTGCTACGTTTGATTTCCATCAATTCTGTGGAGGAAAAAATTTTGGCCGCTGCCCGGTTCAAGCTGGACGTTGATCAGAAGGTCATACAGGCTGGAATGTTTGATCAGAAGTCGACTGGCAACGAGAGGCGCCAGTTCCTTCAGGCTCTGCTCGAACAGGATGAGGAGGCGGACGAAGAGGAAGACGAAGCTCCAGACGATGAGACAATCAACCAGATGCTAGCCCGAAACGAGGAGGAGTTCGAAATTTTCCAGCGAATGGACGTGGAACGGCAGTTCGCCGAGAGTCAGCAAGCGAAGCGTGAGGCACGACTTTTGGAGTATGCGGAGCTCCCGAACTGGATTATCCGAGATGAAATTGAGGCACGTGGTTACTTGATATCGTATGACAATATTAACTGTGACCCTATCTGTATATCGGTTTTGCCTTCCTATTCAACATTACCTTTCGCCCCTAATAATTCCTACAGCGTCCCATCACTCAATTACCACCTCGGTTAACGAGTGGGTGTTTTCGCATTTTGCC